GAGCCGCGATGTCGATACCGCGATAAGGGGCTAAACCTGCGAGTCCGAGTGGCGGGCGTGGTGAGATGAGGATGAGGATGAGTATGAGGATGATGAGGATGAGGATGATGAGGATGAGGGTGAAGAGTGGAGATGATGCGAGCCCAGCCCAGCAGGGTCCGGGCGTCTCGACAGAGAGGTGGTCCAAGCAGAGCGGATCGACTGCTCGGCCCTTCCGCTCTCAAGTCCAACTAAATCCCACTCAAATCCGCGCCTTTTTCTCGTCTTTTTTGGTCGATTTTCCCATCTGTGCGCTGCACTCGACAGCGCCAATTCTTAGTCAAGCCTTCAGCTTCAAGCACCGCTTCAAGCACCGCTTCAAGCACGAGACAGATGCATTTCTACGAACAGCAAGCAATGCACACCTAGACCACGCGGACCTTGTCGATCTTGGCAAAGTTGCGCTGGGCGGCGTTCTCCTTGGCCTCGAGCACCTTGGCCGTCGTCGAATCGCCCACCACCTTTTTGGTCTTTTCGTTGAGCTGCAGCTTGATGTTGGGCACGGCGGGGTCCTGGAGGAGCTGCTGGGCGTTGCGCACCTGCTTTTCGCCCTGCGTGGCTTTGGCGTCGGCGGTGGGCTGCGATTCGGGCACCTTGTGCACCGTCTGCTCGCCAGCCGCAAGGTCGAGGCCGAGAGCAGCGTGCGCCTTGTCGAGCAGGTCGTAGTAGCTCGCGTCCTTCTCTCGCGGGGGGAGGAAGCTGTGCAGCGCCTGCTTGCTCAGCGTCTGGTTCAGGCCGAGCTTCTCGCGCAGACCGTCGAGCTCGAGCTTGACGCTCGCCACGCTCTTTTCGAACGCCGCATCGCTGCCCGGATGCAGGCCCGTGGGGCGCTCGGCGTTGGGCACGGCGATCTCCACCTTGGACAGATCCAGTCCACTGCCTACAGCCTGCTTCCACGTCGTACCCTCCGCCTTGAGCAGCGAGACAAGCTCGTCCTTGAGACGTCGCGGCAGACCCACTCCCTGGTAGCCAAACGAGGTGTATAGCTCCACTGCGCTCGCACCCGCCTTGGCAAAGTCCAGCGCGTCCTGCGCAGTGGCGATACCGCCGCATCCGATGATGGGCAGCTTGCCCTCGAGCCGCTTGTGCACCGTGGTGAGCGCACGCAGCGCCAACGGCTTTACGGGTGGGCCCGAGAGGCCGCCCGTCTCGCGCACGTGCTCCGACGAGCGCAGCGACGCCGGACGCGAGATGGTGGTGTTGCTGATCACCAGTCCGTCGATACCGCTCTTGAGCGCCGCATCCGCCACATCGTGCAGCTCCTCCTCGCTCAGATCCGGTGCGATCTTGACGAGCAGCGGCACCTGCACCTTTTTGTCCGAGAAGCGCAGGTGCGACTCGACCATGCCGTCGCGCGCCTTGGCCACCTGCGTCAGCAGATCCTCGAGCACGCCGCGGCGCTGCAGCCTTCGCAGCCCAGGCGTGTTGGGGCTGCTCACGTTCACGATGATCATGTCGGCGTACGGACCCAGACGCTCGACGCCCTTGACATAATCGTCGACACTCTCCTCCTTGCTCGTCTTGTTCTTGCCCAGGTTGATGCCCAGCATCTTGGCGGGGCGCAGACTGCGAGGCAGGTCGGTGGCATCGACAAAGGCCGAGGTGCTCTTGGGGTGCGTGGCGACGAGCTGCCTGGCGTCGGCCGAAGCCGAGTCGGGCGAGGCGACCAGAGCGTCCTGCAGGCTGGCGATGCTGGACGAGTGGAGAAGCCATCGACGGATGCGGTCGCGCAGGCGGCTGAGGATGACGTTGTGGCCCTCCGAGTTGAAGCCGAAGCGGTTGATGCAGGCGTTGTCCTCGGTGAGGCGGAAGTAGCGCGGCTGCGGGTTGCCCGGCTGCGGCTCGGGCGTGACGCTGCCGATCTCGATGAAGCCGAAGCCGAGGTCGAGCAGGCCGTCGATCGCCTCGGCCTGCTTGTCAAAGCCCGCTGCGAGGCCGATGGGGTTGGAGAGCTTGCGGCCAAACAGCTCCGTCTCGAGCACCGCATCGTCGTCGACCATGTCGCGCGGTGCGAGTCCGGTCTCGAGCATCTTGATCGCGAGCTTCTGTGCGCTCTCCGGATCGGCAAACGCCTTGAGCGCCGGGATGGCCACCCAGCGGTGGATGGCCGAGCGCGAGTCGGCATAGTACGCCACGCCGAGCGTGCCAGCGGCGAGAGCGAAGACGAGGTACACGAACTGCTTGGTGCGTGCCAAGGGCGTGGGCGGCGTGCGTGTGAAGAGCGTGCGTGCGCCAACGGGAGCGGCGAGCGGCGAGCGCGTGAGCGCAGCCGACCTTGCTGCTGCCCTCGACCATGCCGGCGCGGCTGCCGTGAGCAACGTCGACGATGGCGTGGTGGCACGCGCTGCGATCGAAGCGCGCACAGGCGCCGCAGCGGCACGCACGCTACGTGAAGCGAGCATGGTGGGGATGCGACGTTGTTGTTGTTGCGGTTGTTGAGGTTGGAGTCGTGTCACGAGCAAGCGAGCGAGCCATGCCCAGCGCGCGATGCTGGGCCCGTTCGACATTCCGAGATCGTCATCTTCCTTCCCGGCTCTGCCGAGCGATGGCGATTGCCTTGCCGATTTGCCTTGTCCACCCCGATCCCTCCACCGCGCCTTTTTGGTGCGCAACAGAAATCCGACTTCCGGGCTTCAACTCGACTCTCCACGTGACGACACTCGAGAAATGTCGCTCTCCACTTTGGCTCCCCTTTCTTCTGCCCCACCGACACCGCCCGCCGTCATCTACACTTCGAACACGGACACGGCTCGACCACAGCACAGACCCCTTCTTCTCGCTCGAGGCTCGAACGTGCTAGGCTCTGCGTTGGACCGAGGCGTGGGGTTCGGGCGACCATGTCGGCGCTGCAGCAGTACGTGGACCAGCGCGTGCTGGTCATCACGCAGGATGGGCGCGTCATCGTAGGCACTCTGCGCGGCAGCGATGCTGTCGGCAGCATCATCCTTGCCGCCTCGGTCGAGCGCATCTTTAGCCCAGACGAGGGCGTCGAGGAAGTGCCGCTCGGGCTGTACATCCTGCGTGGCGATGCGATCTGTCTGGTGGGTCTCGTGGATGTCGAGAAGGACAAGGCGATCGATTTGGCCACGCTCATGGCCGAGCCGATTCCAGAGACACGGCATGTGTAGGCGCACATATCAACATCACAGCCGGTATGGTTCAGAATCGCGATGCAGCTCGTGAGCCGGAAGAGGCTCCGACGAGCTCAGATCAACCTTTAGCCTCGCCCGAGCAGACCAGGTACCTTGTCAACACGTACAGCGATCTTCAACCTAGAGTCAGGTAGAGCTGGCGAGTGCTGGGCCCAGCATAGGGCTGCACATCGAAACAGCCTTAAGGGCGCTGCGCATGCACTCGCATGCCGCGCTGATCGTACAACGCAGCTCGCGAGCGCGGAATCGAATGGAGGTCCCGACTCGCACAACGAGTGAGCGTCAAGTAGATCTCCCTGGCTACCAGGCAAGCAGGTTTCCAACGCAGCTCTCGAGAGCGGAACTGGCTCAGGCCACTACGGCAGTCGAAAAGGACTGGTACACCTAGCAATCGTCGAGCAGCGGCGTCGACGATGAAATTCAGCATCAACATGCACCTTGCACACATGCTCAAATCGCGCTTTGGAGTCTCGAGGGCGGGATAATTGACTTGGACAACGTAAGCCGGGTTGCACCGTGGTTCGCTCGCCGCTGCGCAAGGCACGTCTAGCTGGAATCGGCTTACGAATTGAAAGGGGATGCAGGGCGAGAGTTCAAAGCAGTGATGAGGAGGAGGTCATGCTGTGGTCGAGGGTGCGCGGCCACATTGCTGGCTTGAGAGCCATTGATGATTGTTACTCTTGGCGCCCAAGCCGGCGGTGGTGCTTCACTGGCAACCAAACACGAAGGAACGGGAGGGAGGGAGCGAGGTGTTCGTAACGCTTTCTGGCATACATGCGCGGGCAGCAATACTCGTTGCAGCGTGTGACGGCGTCTGAATTGGTTGTGATGCTGCCGAGCAGCAGTGCAGCGAGTGACGAGCGCAGCTGAGCCCGCTCCCATGCAGGACCATTGCAGACGAAAGCTGACTTTGTCCTCTCATCCTGGCTGCAGCCTTCTGCCACTTACACATTGCATGCGTGTGCAGACACCCATCCCACCCTGGTGGTCACCGCCGCTTCAGTGTCCCCTTCAGCAGCAGCATCCTCTCTGCATTCCCGAGCCACACCAAGCACAGCGAATTCAAGACTCGATTGTTCATTAGAAAAGTTAGAATGTGCACAAAGCGAGACTGACGACTGTGCGCATCACGATCGGCCGAACCAGCCTTTCTTCTTCTTCTTGCCCTCGTCGTCGTTGCCCAGATCCGCCTTGGCGGGCGCAGCGGATCCCGCAGGAGCGCCAGCAAATCCGGATCCTGGCGGTCCAGCTGGTCCTCCCGGTCCTCCCGGTCCGCCGTAGCCCGGGCCCATGCCCATGCCCGGTCGAGCCTGGTAGTGCGGCGCTCCACCTGGCGGGTAGACGGCGCTGCCACCCATCGACGAGCCCGGCGGCGGCGGCGGAGGCATCATGCCCATCTGAGGCGGGGCCGTGCTCGCACTCATTGGATACGACGGGTATGCTTGCGGCTGCGAAAACGGGGCAGGAGGCTGCGATGAGTTGGAACCCTGTCGCACGGGCTGCGGAGGACCGTGTTGACTGTACGGCATGGGCGGAGGACGCGGCAGACCCATGTTGGGGGAGCCAGAGACCGGCGAACCCATCTCGTTGGGCGAGGGCGAGTGCTGCAGCATGGCACGCGCTTGGGCGCGCTCCTGTGCAGCCACGTTGGCCATGTACTGCTGTTCGCGCTGAGCCGTCTGCGCCTCTCGCATGGCGATGGGCGACGGGTAGTTCATCTGCGTGCTCGGCGTCATTGAGCTCTGCGTCACGCTCGCCGGGAAGGGCGCCGAGGTGGGCTGGGCGCGTCGGCCAAATTCGTTCATGCTCTCGAGCTGCTCCTGCCTCATCTCCAGCCGCTGCTGCTGCTGGCCCTGTCGCTTCTGCGAGCCCACGCCCGCCATGCCCGTGGGGCCACCCGTGGGGCCGCCGCGTCCCTGGAGCGCGGCGATGCGCTGGTTGGCGCGCTTGTCGCCGTGGTCGGCGGCTCGCTTGTACCACGCCCTCGCCTCACCAAGGTCCTTGCTGGTGCCGATTCCCATCTCGGTAAAGTAGCCCACGGCGTACTCGGCCTTGGCGAGGCCTTGCTCGGCCGCCTTCTTGGCCCACAGGTAGGCTTCGGTGTCGGACTGAGGCAGGATGCCCGGCGCGCCCACGAGGTACCAGGCGGTGAGCGCAAAGCACGCCTCCTTGTGGTTCTGCTGCGCCGCGATGTTGTACATGTGGATGCTGAGGCCACCGTCCTGCGGGCAGCCCATGCGGCCGTACTCGTAGTTGACGCCGAGCTTGTAGGCGCTTGGTGCGTAGCCCATCTCGCCCGCCTGGGCCAGGAGCTCGCAGCTGTACTCGGGATCGACAAAGAGCACATTGTCGATGCCGCGCTCGTGCAGCAGCGCGAGCTCGTGCAGCGCGTGCGGGAACTCGGGCGTGGCGGCCTCAGCGGAACGCTTGAGCCACTTGACGCCTTCCTTTGCGTTCTTCTTGAGGCCGAGCTCGCCGTTGAGCTCGGCGGTGGCGAGTCGGTACATGGCACCCGGATGGCTCTGTGCGGCCGACTTGCGGTAGAACTGGAGCGCCTTGCCGGCGTCCTTGCGGCATCCCCAGCCCTTCTCGTAGCAAGTGCCGGCACGATAGGCGGCGTCGGGGTGGCCGTGCTTGGCGGCGAGGACAAAGTAGGTGTAGGCCTGACCAAAGTCCTGCTTGCCCGTGCGGGTGCCGATGCCGTTGGCGTAGCAGTCGGCGAGGAAGTACTGCGCGTCAGGGTGGCCGCGATCGGCGATCTTCTTGAGCAGGCCGGTGGCCTCCTTGATGAGCTCGGCCTTCTCGGTGTCGAGCTTGTTGGGACCGTTGACGGCGGCGACGGGGCCGTTGGCGTCGTCGTCGGTGCCCATGGTCTTGGCGGCGTCGATCATGAAGACGGCGAGCTCGTAGATGAGGTTGGGGTCGTTGGTCTTCTTTGCATTCTGGCGGTAGAGCTCGAGCGTTTTCCCGTGGCTGAGCAACGAGGCTTTTTGGCCGACGCGGAGGTGGCTGTGATCGAGGAGCGGGCCACTTGCGACGGAGGGCGCGATGCTGGCGGGGCGATTGGCGCCTGCGGGGCCGAGGCCGCCGAAGCCTCCGGATGTGGGCATGGGTGCGTTGCCCGTGCCTCCGGCAGCGGTGGAGATGCCGCGCGGAATGGAAGCTTCGCTGCGATGCAAGGAGGAGCCGCGCGTGCCTGGCAAGCTGGCTTCGCCTACGGGAGAGGGGGCGACGATGGCGCTGGATGGCAAGCTGGAGGCCGAGTCGCCCTCGACGCCAAAGAAAGAGGAAGGACGAGGTGGCTGGTTGGTGGAGTCGTGGTCACGCGAGGCAGGCTGGCCTGAGGCGTTGGATTGGTTGAGATGCTGCTGGTCCTGATAGAAGCCATCATCGTCGGCGAGCGTGGTCGGAGGCACGGCCAACGGCTGAGCCGTGGGGCTGCGGGCATCCGCGGGACGCTGCATGCCGAAGAAATTGTCGTCGCGATTTGGTGCGGCGGGCTGAGGCGCGGACTGGCCGTCGTTGAGACGGAGGCCGTTGACTGGCAGCGTGTTGGGGTCTTGCGTACGTGCGGGCTGTTGCGGCGCTTGCGCGGATGCTGAATGCTGCGGAGGGAAGGTGAAAGCGGAGGCGGATTGGGATGGATGCGCTGGGTTGGGGGGACTTTGAGGTTGGGAGTCGTGCGAAAGAGAGTTGGTGGTGTGGTGAGTGGGGGGTGAGGCAGGCATCGAAGGCGGTCGTGGGAGAGGGCTGCGCTGGACCACGGGCGGTGCCTGCGGAGAAGAAGAAGGGCCGTCGGCGTGCAGCGAGGGGTGCTGTACATAAGAGCTTGCCGACGAGAAGTGACGCTCGAGTTGGGGCTGGTAGGAAGGTTCATCCTGGGCGAGCGGCGGTTGAGGCACAGCGGGATGGGCTTCAGCGTCGCGGGAGGTGCGAGGGGCTGTTTCAGGCTTGCTGCTGGGCTCGACGGCGGGCTGTGCGTGGAGCTGGTCGGAGGAGGAGCTCTCCTCGATCTGCGCCGACTGTGGCTCTACCAGTGCGGCGGCATTGGCAGTGGGTTGGGCCGAGTACTGCTGGAAGAAGTTGTTGGTCTGAAAGAGATCCGACTTGGAGTCGAAGCCCTTGAACTCTGGAAAGTCGGGGAGGACGTTGGGAGCGGGTGCGGCGGTGGAAGAGTGGGCTGCCGAGGAAGAGTAGAACTGGCCTGCATCGAGGTCGGGATAGGAGTAGTTGTCGGCGCTGGAGCGAGCCGCCGAGGGGAAGTCGGCACCGTTTGCATTAGCGCTGGCGGCAGCAGGAGCGTCCTTGGCCTGGACGGCGTCGAAGCGATGGTGAAAGGCGTACGCCGAAGATGCCGGGGCGGCCATGGTGCTGCCGATTCGACGAGTCTTGCGTCGAGCAGGCTACAGTGCCGGTGAGTTGAGGAAGAAAGAAGCTCGGCTGCTTGACGACGGAGATATAGCGTCCGAGATCGCGATGACCAGGATGGTGGTGACGAAGAGAGCGGCGGACGAGGATGGCTTGGGTGCAGAAGGAGGAGGAGGAGTGGAGCAGACGAGAGGAGGCGAGAACAACTGAAACCGAGGGAGATGTCCAAGGGCGCGTCGACATGCGGCTACAGCAGGTGCATGGCACGATTGCGCTGGCTGGCGGGCGAGCGACGAGGTGGTCGAGCTGGCAAAGTGCAGTCAGTCTCTGCCTCTCTCTCTCTCTCTCTCTCTCT